CGCGGGCGGGCGGGTGGGCCCTTCGCCGTTCCCGGAAGTTACGTACTTCCGGGTTCGCCGACCAACCGGTTCACGGGGACCGCCGCGAACCGGTTGAAACCCACCCCTGATTCCAGACCTCACATGGACTCCAGGTCACAGGAAGGGAAAAAATTGCTCCTGCTTGTGATGAATCCAGTTTTTGAGAAGGCACATTTAGTTTGCACTGTTGTGCTTTAATTAGATGCAGAGGACATTTTAAACATGAGTGAAGAAAAACAACTGTCACAATCCAATCTACAGTCTATATAGCTAATCTATTTTACATACTAAGATTGACTCAAGTGAAGCTGTGCATTCTGCTTTTCAATCTCCAGTAATTCAGTCGCTAGCAAAGGCTTTAATTAGAGAGGCACCAATATCTCTACAATGGTTTGTGAATTAGTGTTTCCTTAAAAAGCTTAAACAAAATGGAATGCAAGGGCATTAGTGAAGAGTGAAACAAGAAGACAAAGGACACAACAGTTGCGGTTATTTAATGACTTCTTTTCACCACACCTCATGTATCTCGTCCCTTGTCATGCAGAAATGGAGGACATGCGACAGCTCTTCCTCATACTTTTCAGCTTTGGAGTCCCATTTAATGCTGTCAGACTCCATGGTATCCAGTTGTTGCTGTAAGTTCTTTACAGAAATATTAAAGGAATTCTGAAACGAAATATATAAATTATGCAGAAACAACAAGCCATTGTCTATAAACAGTGACAGTAATAATGAAAAATATTGTGTGGTGAAAAGTATTGTTTTTCAAGAGCATGGTACTCTAATTCTAATATTTCCAAGATATGGAAATATAAATTTGAGTTCTATACCTGTCAACATAGGATATGCAAGATATAAAGCTTGGGTTAAACCACAGAAAAAAAATCTACTTATTTCACAGAATGTGCTGTTTCTTGTAATGTAAATGAACAGAGGTTCTATCGCTGAGCTGAATTAGTGGTTAAGGCGCATTCAGATAAATGACTCTGAAACTCTTTTCAATCAAGTTGATTTATTTTATCTATTCATCTTTTACAGGGTAAGAAACTACTTTTGGGGGACAATCTCCCCAAAACTGGAAGAAAAGAATAAGCACAATCAATGCAGAAGCAGCAGTAATCAAAAGGAAAACATAAAATAAGCCAACAACAGATCAATAAAATACAACATAAGCCGTCACCAGTCAAGCTCAAAAAGCAAATAAATCCAATTAATTATATAAAGTTGGGAAGAATGATCTGCTTTTTGTCAGAATATCTCTGGTGAGAACAATGGCAAATACTATGTTCCTATTGTGAAAGCATCTACCTCCATTGTCAAAATGAAGATATTTAATCAAAAGTTTTAAGGAGGGGACGACAATAGATGGGGCAAAGTAGGAAGTCCATGAGATATTTTGAGACAATGTTTCTGCATCAGCACTGCCCATAGTACTGCAGTGTTTCCCTTACCTTAATTTATTTCAACACCCTTAAGTAGTGTACTAGGCAAGTTACTACTTTATTTCTATGAAGCTGAACTATCAATCCTTCCATGGATCTACAGAGGAATATCGGAACAACATCAAAAAATAATAATCATTTTTTCCTACTGCTTTCATTATTGTAGCAATAACTTTATTGTTCTTATAAGGAGAAAAAAAGGGGGGATTAACGGGGTCTGTATTGATGTCAAAGGAGATAATGTGGAAAGGGAGAATGAAGTTGTACATATTGGCAAATGTTTGGGAAAGCAAAGTCATGGTGACTAGTGAGAAAGGAACAGCCCTAACAGGAAATGACATTCACTGGTCCCATATTGGAGCCAGGAAGTAAGGTTTGCCTTTCCTGCAAGAGATGGTGGGAACCATCAATCGGGTCTAGCAATGACTGTAGTAGAGGCTGGTTATCAGACCATTCTCAATCTGGATTGCATACTGATAACCCACTGCAATTCAGACCGGGATTTCTGAAGTTGGCTTGGAATATCAGGAGAGACAAGCCCTTTAAGTTGTAGTGTGGAATTGCCCTAAAAGAGATTGCAGTTGATGGACTAAGCTAAAACTGGTCAAAGATATTTCACATTACAAAAGAAAGCTTTGCCTTTAAACTTTACTCAAAACTATGTACACTCTGCTTAAGGAGGAGAGGGGGATACAAATCTACCCAGAACTAATAAAAGACTGATAGGTATCACCTCAACTTATGAACCCCTTTATCAATACTAACTTCTTCTTCACTAAGCTGAGTTCTAATTAACAGCATTCACTATAGCCAGTTATCATTTGCGTCAAATAAAGTTACATACAGTTAAGTGATACATAAAGAAGGCAATAATACTAGTAGTCACTCAATATACTCCCACAATGTGGGGAAAAAATTGTGATTGGCAAAAGGTTCAGTTGTACTTCTGGCACTGTTGCAAATTCATAGTCCATGCCTGATGTAAGAAAGAAAGTAGCTTGTCCTGGATAATTGCTCCCTTTCCCCCCATTTTGGATTTGCTCTGATATTTTTACTTACAGCATGTATTACTGTGGAGAGTATATCCCCTCCAAGTGAAAGTGCTGATTTCCCCCATTCTAGACTTGCTCTAGTATTTACTTACAGAATGTTTTACGGTTGAGAGTATATCCATTCCAAGCGAAAGTGCCAGTTTATACAGGTGCCTGATATGCACATGCTTCTCCTGAGCATTAGTCAGGTGGATCTTAGCATGGGAAGTGTCACTTTGCACATCTTTCATTTGTAGGATCTCCAGTCCTCCTGATTTTATGAGACCTTCAAGCTGGGAAAATTATAGATATATTTCATTAACATCTAGCCTTTCATCTTTTAGTTTTACTTTCGTAGAACATTCAGGTTGTTGAAAACAGTTTTGACTCTAAATCCAGAATTTGGCCACCCAAATACTTTAGCATAGTTATTGCCTAACAACTGCTTCTTTTAAAACGGTATTTATAGCCCAGTAAAAGAAAATACACGTGGATGAATGCAGTGGTGGGATTCAAATAATTTAACAACCAGTTCTCTGCCCTAATGACCAGCTAGGTAGGTAGGGCTTGGTGGTCATGTGGCTGGGCGGGTGTGGCCAACTCAATATCACGTCGATGGGCGCTTCGCCTTAGCTGTTACAATGTAAAAAGGGTTAACCGGAGAAGCAGTTTCTGTAAACAGAGCAATAGAGATTAGGCTAGAAACAACCCCAGAATATTTCCTTCCTGCCTCCCCTACAGGATTAGCCCTGTAAAGTGGAAAAAAACAAAAATGAGATTTCTTCCAAAAACCGGTTCTCCCAAATAGGTGCAAACTGGCTGAATCCCATTACTGGGTGAATGGGACAGTGAAATCAAGGGGTTCATGAAAATAAAAACAACCACACTTACCTCCTCTCTGACTTTGTGGAATTTGACTGTCTTGTTGAAAACTTCATCATATTTTGCCATCATTTCCTTTATCTCCTTATGGAGATGAATGAGCTCACTTATTTTCTCAGATTTTTCCATGTCAGGAGCTCCTTTCAAGCCCAGCTGCTCTGATAATTTTAATGTGTATTCCACCTCAGCATTGAGTTGCTAATGAATTAGGTACAATAAAAATATTAAAACCTCAAAGGAAAACACGTTTACATTTAAGCCAAGCAAATCTCTGTTCATTTTGTTTGAACTGTTACTTTCCCCTTGTTCTGAAAAAGTAAACGCATTAATTCCACTCCTAAATTTTGGTTTTAAATATATGGCTTTTCATTCAGTATGGCATGTTTGAATCACCTTAGGACAGCGATGGCTAACCTTTTTTGTAGTGCCCAAAGCGTGCATGCGTGTGCAAGTACGCCCATGCCCAAACCTCCAAAATGCAATGCACGACACCCCCCGCACATGCCCTATCCCTCCTGCATGTGCAGCCGAGACCCGAAGACCAGTTGACCAGCGGGAGGCACCTGCGCATGTGCAGCAGAGCTGAACTGGGCCAACGGCTCATGTGCCATCAGAGAGGGCGCTGTGTGCCACCTCTGGCACATGTGCCATAGGTCCGCCATCACGGCTTTAGGATTTTTAAAAATGTAAAAGGCACATTTCTCACTATCTACAGAAACAAATAAAACACAATTTTTCAACATTCTCAGCTGACATTCTTACCTGAAACTGTGGCTTAATTTCATTAAACTTATTTTGTAATTCCATAAGTACCGAAAGATTACTTCCAAGATCAAGTGCCAGAGTAGATCTGAGTCCTTCTTGAAGAACGACTAAGCGTTGTGTTGTCTGTAATACACCAGAAAACAATTTGTAAATGCATATTTCAGAATTTGTTATATTTTAAATAAGAAGAGTCCAGTTTTAAGGGAAGAAAAGGAATGTTAAGCTTGCATATGGTATAGTAAAAATGCTATAAAGTATGTTAGACTAATGCCTATTCATATATCTTTTATATTTTATTTTTGAGGACTAGAGCGGACCAGAAGATATGAATTATTGTCAATAAATAATCCATATCTTCTTTAAACATAAAGTTTCAGCTAAATGCTACTAGCCAAATCCAAAATGGAACTGAAATTAGCATCAAGAGCTAAAGGAGAAAAATATGTTGTTTTAATCTTTCTCAGCTCCTGAATCTACTTTTCATCTGACAATACTGTGTTTCCTGACATTTTAAAAACCCTTTTACTGAACTATCCTACAAAAACGTAGGCTAGAATAAGATTTGTTAACTCAAGAGAACTCGTTTGCCAAGCTATTTTAAATACACCAACAAATAAAATGTAAGGAATCAAACTTTGCTGCAAAATTCCAGAGAAATTTAGAAATTATAGGAAAAATGATTGAGTATTAGATGCCATCAACAATGCCTTTTATTTTTTGATATAAAGATATATGCAAGGCAGAGGTGGGTCGCTCCCAGTTTGGCCCAGTTCAGCCGAACCGATAGTGGAATTCAGGCCTGGGTAGCAGAACCGGCAGTGATCCAGGCCTGCCATGCCGCCAAACTGGTTCCCTCGCTGCTGCTGGGCTGCCGTCATTTTGAATTTAAGTGACTGCAAGTGCACAGTTCACTGTAAATTGTTCTGTGCATGCGCATTGCACATGGGTTGCGAACTAGTAGTAAAACCAGCAGCAACCCACCCCTGATGCAAGGTTGTCTGAACTGTGCTATCAAAATGCATTCTGACACACAGAGCTTTGATTATGTGGTTGACTCTTTGACCCCTTGTGATCACCTCTTGGCGTTTGGGACATTCTTTGTACTTTGATTATCACACTGCATGTTTTCTTTGCATGTACCCTCCAGGAAGGATTTCATGCTGGCATTTCATATTTCCCTAAAATTGCTAGAGGAAATTCTTCATTTTGAAAAATGCACTATTGTTAGCAAAAATGTCTAGACGGTTCAGCTATTATGCTTTCAAATCTCTTGAATATAGTGCAGGAGAACCAATTTCTTAAGACATGGTGTTATGATCTGCCAAAAACAAAATTAAAACAAGTGGCAATTCCATTTTGCCAAACAGAGGTAGGAATAAATATTATGTAGATTTTACTTACATTTTTAAATTGCTCATTGAATTTTCCACATTGTTGCTTGATTGATTGCACTTGATTCATGCTAAGTTTCCATCTTGCCCAAAGCTCGGTTAATTCTTCTTTTTCTTTGTTCAGAATATCAAGGGTACGTTCCGTTACTTGAACAACATTTTCCACATTCATTATTAGATTGTTATTCACCTGTTCCAGACAGAATTTATAATTTTTTTTTCTGACAGGGACAGAAAGCAAACTATTTTTGGCATCTTTATGGTGGCATCAAGAAGGGGCAAAGATTTCTCTCAGTCCCACCTCATGCAATTCTATACATTTTCCTAGAAGTGCTGCACCAGTGGTAGGTTTCAAATATTGTTCAAACCTACTCTGTGGGTGTGGACTCCTTTGTGGGAGTGGCTTGCCATCCATGTGACTGGATGGGAGTGGCTTGCCGCCCATGTGACTGGATATGAAGATGCCGACGACACTTGTCAGAACCACCTTAAATTACCTCACACACAGCACTGGCATGCATAGGAATATGATGTAAACTTGTTTTTTAAAAGGCATCTTTGATTTGCGTTAAAACAACTTCAACACACGCAATGTTCTGTAGTGGATAGACAACT